CAGGGGGGTTGATGCCATGGCGTACACCATGTGTACGGGAGGGGGTTGATGCCATGGCGTACACCATGTGTACAGGGGGGGGGATTGATGCCATGGCGTACACCATGTGTACAGGGGGGTTGATGCCATGGCATACACCATGTGTACAGGGGGGTTGATGCCATTGCGTACACCATGTGTACGGGGGGGTTGATGCCATGGCGTACACCATGTGTACGGGGGGGGTTGATGCCATTGCGTACACCATGTGTACAGGGGGGTTGATGCCATTGCACACACCATGTGTACAGGGGGTTGATGCCATGGCATACACCATGTGTACGGGGGGTTGATGCCATGGCGTACAACATGTGTACGGGGGGGGTTCAAGAGTGCGTACTTAATGCAAACCAAAATTTTTCCTACAACTGAATCTTCTTGAATATCAATACTTGCGCATACAAATAAACATAAGGTGTAAAGTAACAATGTTGCATACATGTAAGACAGAAAGGCACCTGGATTATTTTTTGTTTTTATTCAACATCTTTTTATAAGCTGCCAAGTAAATATTTTCCAGGGCTGTTAATGAAGAAATACTGATATAAAACCTTTTATTACTTTGGTCATTTATTTAAGAATTTGGAAGCGACATGCGAATAGCAGTATTGTACAATGCACTGTTACATTTAATGATACTAAAGCAAGGTACTGATACCCTCAAGTCACATGATTGTGTATGCTTACGGGGGGAGATGGTGGAGCCATTGCGTAGGCCATGCGTATGGAGGAGGGGGTCTGGAAAGTCAGCATTTTGTGTTTATATATTTTATAGACGGTCCTGTCTGAAAATTGATAACTAGTTGCACCAATTGTATGAGCCTAGTTGATACAATGTATGAGGTTCAATATGCCGGGGGTTACTTGTACCGGTACAGTGTAGCTGGAATTAACGGTCAATGCACCGGTACCTGTACCTTGTGTGACTAGTAGAGACAACAAACCCTAGTAACCTGTCCACTCATGGCCCTCTGTTACCTTGTTAAATCTATTTGACCAGGGATACATGTACATGTGTATGAACTGAAGTTTCTTGTGTAGTACATGTACCGGTATGGACATTATTATGTAGTGGTCAACTCCAAGCCAAATGTTTGACAAACAACAGTACAAGAGAAGACAGATGCCATGCTTGACCACCAGTCATGGTCATAGTACTGGGGATATGATGCCTCAAGGTATCATGATGTTAAAGTAAGACAGGTATGTTGGATTTTATAGAGATTGGGTCTCAGTGTATTATAAATGGATGGAAGTTCCCCCTGACCAGTGCCAACCCTGCTACTCCTTATTTATATCTTCTCTAGATGGCCGCAAGTGGAAAAAACAGATCTCTGCCTAGAAATTTTTGGCCACAAGAGGGCAGTGCTCATATGAAGGGGGGCCAGGGCAGTGTGCCCAAGGTGAGTTGCATCCAGCATCAACCAGATGTAGCTGGTTCTAGCCACATCTTTCCCATTCTAATGACTGACAGTGTTCTCCCATACACAGTGGTGGCTCTGGTTGTTTGCAGAGACAATGGGATACCTTGACAATGAGTTTGAAGAAAATGGCCAGAAGGCCATGTTACATATGGCTTGTTGGGGAGAACACTGACTTCCCTTTGCATGTTAACTAATACTAACATGTAGTGCATGGCAAGCATTCTAAATAGCATGAACAAATGAAAGGCTACAAGACTTGTACATGTACATATATTGCAGTAGCAGTACTGGTACATGCCACATGGCATACTTGCACATACTGTATATAGGCACTAACCATATTGACTTTAACCACTTTTTTCAGCCTAACCATACCCTTTACATGTATATCCTTTTCGGCTAAACGTAAATTGAAGGGAAAGGTGTACAGTTTCTATTGTTTGAGCAGACAACTTTGTTTTTCAGAGCCTGTTGAGTTTTATGCACTGTACAAAATGGACAGATTTTCTTGACACAGCTACATGTATTTAGGTTGGATGCTGGTTGTGATAGTATACATGTATGTAACGCTTGACCAGCAACACCTCAGGTTTACAAAATGTTCCTATGCTACAGTGTACACATGTATATGCATGTCATTGGTTCTAAACTACCTGACATGTATTTACTCTTGATATCTTCAAGATACATGCAACATGCCGGTACACAAAATTTCATTTTGCTGAATTTTGTGAATTTGACAGTTCCAGGGGTTTTTACATGGAACTTGCATGTACAGTGTAAAGTGGCTATCATTCCACTGCACTGTTGCACGGGCCATTCCATAGTCTCAGTGCACGTTGGAGGTCAGTTTATCAATTGTTTATAGGTAGGGTACACCATTGAAAAAATCCCCCAAATCGGGCCACTGTATAATCCCGAAATATCTTCTTTGAAAGTACATGTACATAACAGCCTCTGTCAGTCTGTAAATTATTTCCGCCCAGAATGCCGTAGTTTTTGAGAATACAGAAATTTTGTTCTCTTTTTTTTACGATGGTCAGCTGACCATCATTTAAGAGTTCATTGCACATTCGTTAACAGGCACCAATTTTCTTGTGTGTTGTGTTTGCAGATGTTGTGGGAGTCTCCATTAATGAATGGGCAATAGGGTTATTCCAGAAATTGGGGTCTTTTTTTGGTCCCATTTACAGGGTACATCTGACACATGATTTTGTAAGTTCAGAACAAATTTTTCTGATTTCCAAGAGTGATGAAGTAATGCAAATTTCCTGCCAAACAAATAGTAATAGTTTGAAATCAATTCCGGTGATATTTCCATGTCAAATAACAAAGGTCACATGCAACAGGGACAAAAAAACCACACTTTTGGACCCTTAAATCTGGAATTACCCAATACTAAAACAACTAAAAAAATGTACGCCTTCTTGATAGTAATGCGGCAACCATCCCGGTCAGATAGTGTCTTACACTACCCTGTATGCAAATCTACAGCTGCACATTGAAAAAAATTGATGTAGCAGGATGATTTCTACAAGAATTCCCAGAACTTAATCTGTTGTCTATATAATGTATTTTTTGTGTGTTGTTAAGAGTTGTGGACTGTAGATGTTTTACATGGATCAAGACAAGTTTTATCACTTTCTGTGATAGTGTTTGGTTACTTTTTGCCTATTCAATCAGAAAGGAAAAATTCACCAAACAAAATTTTCTGACCAAGGCCTACTAACCCTAGTTTCGAAGTAGAGAGGCATGTAATCGGAAGTACTTTTTTCTTTTTTCCCAACCAAATTATTCAGAGGTATTGTAGCACTGTAACTCGTGTCATCTGGGAATGCTGTGCAGAAATGCTAAGTAGAAATCCTTGCAAATCGTCTGTGCTCTTTCAAAGCATTCCTCTAATGCATACATGTACATGTATGTAGACCCAACTATTGCCCAGTTATCTGTCACCATTCCAAGATAGCATTATCTTTACAACATGCAGGTATTCTGCAAACAGTTCTTGCTTATGATTTGGAAATGGCCTGTTTACATTGTTGGCCAGTGTAGTCCTGTGGGGTATAGTACATGTACAGGTACGTTACACATACATGTAAGTGCAAAATGGCATCAATCAAGGCTTGACAGAAGGAGGGATGACCCATTGCTGGTTGTTGATGTCTAGTCAGCTGGATCACAGGTCTTGCAAGGTCATTCACTATAGTTTACATACATGTAGTGTACATGTACCTAGAAATAACATGTGCCATTGGGACGATCAGCACAGTGCTAAACACACAAGCTTTGTCCCATCCAGACAGGAAAGCAGCCATTCTCAAAGAAGAAATACTAGCTGCCGATTGGTGCTTGTAAAACTGGGGATGTCAGTATTTTGAATCCATGTACTGGTCATTAAGAGAGAGTTACCCAACGTCATTTCTTGTATGATGCACGTACTGTACATGAGACAGGGGCCTAGTGGTTTGGATGAGTGACTCACAATCAGAACATCAGGGGTTCAAATTCATTCAGAATTACAGAAATAGAGATGTTCAATTAAATGATTTTACCAAATACTAGTAAGTTGATTAGTAATACTAGTAAGTTGATTAGTAATACTAGTAAGTTGATTAGTAATACTAGTAAGTTGGCATACATGAACTTGTTAACCATAGCCATGCAAAACTAACAGAATTGTGTCAATTACACTGCACCTGTAAGGTTAGTTTGGTGGAAGGCAGTGTTACAAGTTTATTGGTATGTGGGTGCAACCACTTATTTCTTATCAGATACCTGTTCTCCTTACAAGACTAATTTAAACATTTCAACAAATATTTCAACAAACTGATTGCTTGAAAATGTACAATTAATACATGTTCAAAATTTAAACACTGTTTATGAATGGAAGGAGCTCACAGGATTTATACATGCATCTTGGCTGATAGTCTCACTTTCGCGTGTTCATATTACATGTACAAAGCATTGTTTTCATGCACTATTTACCTGTATGTACAGAGAAAAACAAAAACAAAAGAAAAAACTCAGAGTCTACCGGTAAGTTGGTCAACTCTTCAGAATTAGGTGATTCAGTGTGGATGGAGTCATTTGTGAATGCTGCTTTTATTAGTTTAACCCTAACAGTCCCAAATCCTCCAATTTCAATAGACTTTATATACACTGTACACCCTAGGGGGTTAGGGTTAAACTTAGAAGTGTTTATTCAAGGGACATGTGTTCACAGTATGAATTAATGGTCAGTTTCATTTACTGATGCTTGGGGTCACTGTTACTTTTACGACAGCAAAATCTCAATAACTCAGAGTCTGTTAAGCCAAAACTCTATCTTGAAGACATACATGTACATACACATGTATGTCATTCTTGCCTAAAGAATAGGCTTTTACTGACTGCCCTCCCTGCAACAAATGCCGGCTTTCAAATGACATACATATGTATACATGTACAAACTACAATGCATGTAGTCACATTGCTGCCATAGGCCCAATTTTAGCCCGCATGCCGGCAGTCCAATCGTTGACTCTTTGCTGTGGCCTTGTGACTGCAAAAGGAAAGGTCATGTGACCAAACATGAAAACCTGAGTGAAAACCTGAGCGTGCATGGAGCATTGCCCTATAGACACAATAGACCAAACAACACGAAAAGAAAGATTTGCCATAGGAAAGTACACAGGTACATGTAAGTGATTTATTATTGATTTAGCAATAAAATATAACTTTTAGGTAAGAACAAAAGTAAACTGATTGAGTTAAAAATCATGCACCATTTGTACAGTAAATAAATCGAATTTGAATAGCTAGCACAGAGTGAGTTGTGGTTGCTCTACCTGTGTGTGTGGCCTCTGTGGGTGTGGCCTGTGGGTATGGTAACTGACTTGACTAAGTAAACCGGGTACCTCGGAGTTTCTATCTATTCCCATGATTTTTGAGTTTTACTGTATATAAATGCTGACGAATGAATAAAACTCGCTCCATATTTTGAAAGCAAATTTAACATTGCTTGGACAGTGCCATATGTACCAGTAGAAATGTGTGAATGTAATCATAGCTTTGGATCTTGTTTAGAGACATATTATATTCGTAATGTACACTGTATCTACATTCAAACTACCAGTTATAGTCTGTGTCTGTCAATAAGTAAAAGTCTAAATGTACAGTGAAGTTTGAGACATGAAACCATTTGCTTACAATGTACATGTATGTGCATACATATAGTTTATGGCAATGCAACCCTGGTCCAGTGTCATTGCACTGCTAAGCGCAATGAGTTAATGCTAACAGAGGCTCTGTGAATTCAAGGAGACCGTAGGCAGGGAGCATGGCAAAATGCATGCTTACCTTGGGGGAAAAATTGGCTTAGTGTAGTGACAAAGCAGTGAAATCTCTCTGTGCTTGCAACCGTAAGTACAACCAGACCAAGTCACACCATGAAATAGTGCTATAATTTTGTTGCTATAGTAAGCACACAGTTTCTGCTACACATACATGTACATGTAACTGCTCAGCAGCCCTGTGACATTGGACCATTGTGTTATTTTACAAGTATCCATAATGTTAAGACATTCAGTTGACAGTGTATGAATGTACTGCAGATTTTGTGCAGTAAAGTCTCTCCAAATCAGATAGGGTGGGAATGCACTGTACACATGTACCGTAT